CCATATACATGTGTGTGTGTGTGTGTGTGTGTGTGTGTGTGTGTGTGTGTGTGTATTACAAATTAATTTATAATGTATAAAATTATAATTTATACAATCCTGCATGTTTGTTTCTAATGACAGTTCTAGCCCATTTCTGTTAAGATCTTAAAAAGAAAGCACAATTGTGCATCATTTATATATATATATATTATTACATTGTTTTCAGAAATGTGTTTGTGAATGCATATTTTATGAAAAATGGAAGCAGACATTCCAGAACTGTAAACGTAATAACCACACATAATAAATAAATAATTCCAGTATTTTTTTTTTTATATTCATAGCCATTTATCAATTCCCAACCCTAGAAGTGAGGAAAGGAAAGGAACCCCTTAATGAGGACAAGGAGGAAATCTTGAGCACCTGTGTCTCTGCGATATTCTCTCTCTCTCTCTCTCATCTGCATACATTAATATCAGTTAATGCTGTGTTTTTATTGCCATCTCTGAGCTCTGCTATGCATTCAACCAGCCGTGTATTAGCACTCAGCCATTTTACTGCACATCTCTTCTCCCATGAACGACTCTACGGGGGCGAAGGAAGGGCAGACTGGCTCTTGATGCTGGTTAGTTACCCGAGTGTGCTCTCACAACCCCATTCTCCACCCTTCATCAGCCGCGGTGCGTGTTTGGCTTGTAGAAGAGCACATAAAGCCGTGAATAATACCTGCTCGTGATAATGTGTGCACTTCAGTCTGTTCTGTCTCCGATTTTGTGCTGCATTTTGCTCATTGAGCCATATGAAACTTCTTGTCTGTGTGTGTTCCAGGTAATTATTCCAAATACCATTGCTGCCGTTGAGGATTGTGTTTTCTGTACATGTGGTGTATGAAGATGATATTTTGTTCCTGATGAAACGGGAAAATTGTTAATATTTAAAAACAGAAAAACAAACAACCACGAAGATCGATATAATCATTTTATTTGAATAACTGCACATCTGTTTGTGCCTACATGCAAATGTTTGTCAGCATTACCGTGATCATTAAAAACCTGGAAATATCAGGCCATCTGAAACACTTGTAGTATTTATTAATAATTTGAATTAGTGTTTATTTTTAGATTTTCAATTTAGTTTCCGTTTTTACATTTTTTTTTAGTAACTTTTTTATTTGTTTTTGTTTTTGATTTTTTTTCTACTTAGTTTTTGTTCATTTTTATCTCAGTCTTGTTCATTTTATCTCAGTGTAGTACTTCAACTTAAGAACTTAAACTTAAAATAAATAATTTATAGTATTAATATATAATATAATATGTGTTATAAATAATTTATATAAATAGTTGAAATAAAATATTTTTTGATATTTTACTTTTTATTTGTAAGTCGCTTTGGATTAAAGCGTCTGCTAAATGAATAAATGTACATTTCTGTTCATGTTTATTTTGTTTCAGTTAATGAATTTTTTAAAGATAACAGGACTCTATTGAATATGCATTTTTTAAATTATGATCTGCTCTAAAATATTTAATTGACTAAAATATTATTTTTATGATTGGAAAATTAACCAGCTTGATCACATTGAGATGCATTTAAATCTCAGTCCTTTTTTATTTTATTTTTTTTTTTGTATGGTTTATGATTCATACCTGACATACAAATGGAAGTCTGCCATAGAATTCTCCATAAAAAAACAAAATTTTAAAAGCATGTAATCACAAGTTAAAAGGTCACTCAGATTCATTGGTGAAAAATGGTTGCATCCCTGCTTCTTGTCACTATTGCTCAAGAATCAGGTTATCTGGTCTTTCATTTTCCATCAGTATATCTGATCAGAATAAGAATCGGTGAATCCCAAGGAAGTTCTGAATTCTCTAGTTCTGAATACACACACCTGTTTTCAGTAGATTTCCCAGTTATGTCTGTGTGACAGCTGGATATCCTTCACCATGCCATCAATCACACTGGCCTACTGAGGAAGACATTAGTGCAGAGAGGAGAGGTGATTGTGTTCTGGTGCGAGGGGCACCTTCATCCACCAGCAGCTCAAGGTGACCCTGTCACGGCCTGATTAATGACTCACGGTCTGCAGAACACCAGCAGCTCAGAGCACATGCACATAAAACACAACATGCACATGCACAAAGTGCAGTCAAACCTGCTTAATGTCATTTTCAGTTGTCCATTACCTTCACTAGAGGGCGCTGTTGGCTTGTAATATATAGCGTTAAAAAGTGCATGCAGGATTGTTACCTGGATGCATTTCCTACTTTCATTACATTTGAAAAAAGACATTACAGGTATCTACAATACAGCAGGTGTGAATGTGCGTCCATTGCGCCAAAAGGATCCTAAAAGCTCTGGATTTTTTGTAGCACTGTACAACACAATGTATAGGATATGCATATGCATGTTTGCAAGCTTGGAGTTCATTAAAAAGCGAACTATGCATTTAATATGCAAATTACATCGATGTGATGATATTGTATTCTTTCAGGCATTTCCAAGACAAGTGTAGAAATATTTAGATACTTATTGTGTTGTATTTGGTTTTTGTTAGTCAAGCAACCCAGTGCATGTATTTTATTTAAGTAAGAAAAGGCAAAGTGCTACTAGAACATGTGAAATTATAAAACTGTGAAAGGTTAGGCACAAAGTTTGTGCATTACCTTATTGCCAGAGGTTTGCGTTTCAAAATATTTTGCGTGTAAGCAATGATTTTATGCTAAAAAAAAATTTCCATGGAGATCTCTACATTTTGTTCATTTAGCTAAAACCATTATTGGTAATGTAGCATTTGAAAGAAAACACATTTCACATATGTTTGCATACTCTTTAACCTATTTTATCATTTAGACTAATCAATACCACTTTTTTTTTTTCTTCTTTTTCTGTAGTCACATGTAAAAAAGTCATCCAAATGCGTTGGTGAAAAATTGTAGCCTCCTCTGGCCTCTATTGCACATGAATCAAGGGTAATGTGATGTCTAGTCTTTAATTTTCCATCAATATGGTGATATTTGATACTTAAGAACAAAGTTATTTTCTTATGTTTTTAAGCACATTTATACAAAATAATACTTTGCTGAAAATGGTCTCACCCTCAGGCCTTCCAAGAGTTTCTTTCTTCATCAGAACGGATTTGGAGAAATTTAGCATCACATGCTCACCAATGGATGCTCTGCAGTGAATGGGTGCCGTCAGAATGAGAGTCCAAACAGTTGATAAAAACATCACAATAATCCACAAGTAATGCACACCACTCCAGTCCATCAGTTAACATATTTTCAAGTGAAAAGCTGAGTGTTGGTAAGAAACAAATCCATTTTAATTGTTGCTGTTCATGGCCAAAATATGAGTCCATAATAACGTTTCCTCCATTGAAAAAATCCATCTCCTGTTCTCCTCTCACATCAAAATCCACCCACATATTTGTTTAGAAATATTCTGGACTGTTTTGGCTTGTAAACGGTGTTTGATCTATGCAGATTTCGCTCCTGATTCAGACCAGATGACTTTTTTTGATGACTAGAAGATATTTGATATTTTAGTCGGAAGTTTAAAAATGCCTTAATGATGGATTTGTTTCTGACAAACATGCAGCTTCTGGCTTCACAAGACTAATGTCTTGATGGACTGGAGTGGTGTGGATTATTGTGATGTTCTTATCAGCTGTTTGGACTCTCATTCTGACGGCACCCATTCACTGCAGAGGATCCATTGGTGAGCACGTGATGCTAAATTTCTCCAAATCCGTTCTGATGAAGAAACAAACTCATCTACGTCTTAGATGACCCGAGGGTGAGTAAATGTTCAGCAAATTTTAATTTCTATTCCTTTATAGCAGGAAAACTGATCAAAATGCTCGTCCTTAATATGTAATAATGCGAAATGCTGGCATTTCTTGTTCGTCTTGCACACTGACCCCTTTTTAAAGTGTGTGGGAATGAAATAAGCGTCTCATTAAAGGAAGTGATTTTAAATGGACTTGACTGCAGTTTAGCTCAAATCTACATGCACACGAGAACCTTCACAGAAGCCAGCGCTGCTTGTCCCCGATGCACCGTTATTCACCCCGTACTGATCTGTCCATCAGTGTGTGAGCTTTGATTTCTGCTGCTTGTCACTTTATGTCTCTCTCTTTGCCACTGCTTTGCTCGCTTTATGTTGCTTTGCTCTGCTGTGCTTGTGCTTGATGGTTTGCCTTTTAATCACGACCTGCTCTCGTTTTGTTTGTTTCCTTCTTTTTTGTCATTTCCAGATTTGCATATCCATTCTTCCTACCTCCTTCATTTGCCTTTCCTTCACTGAGAATGGCAAGCGGGCATTCCACTGACAAATTCAGTTTTCTGTACCCAACAGACACCAGTCAGAACGTTAAGAGGTCAGTCTAGTGCTCAGCACCTTCCACCATGTGTGTATGTGTTTGTGGGGTTGGAACGTTATTGATGTAGTTCACTCTGATTCCAGCTGTTATGATGAGCCTCATATAGGGCTGTATGTCATGTTTCTCTCCTCTAGGGTTTGTATGACCTTGATGTGTTTTGTCTCTCAGGTTTCTCCTGCTCGTTGCTGGTTTGTACCTCTGATCAAGCTAATTAAAGTCAACATGAAATGTCATTCATAATCATAACCCATTCTACTTTCATAATGATGAGGTCATATATTTACGGGTCTTATCCGAGTGGTTTTTAAAAAATGGCTATTATAGAATCAGGTAATTCCTGGTGAGCGGCTGAGTGATGTCACATGTAAAAGTAAGTAGACTTTGATTTCATGTTGACTTTAAAGCAATAAGGGGTGGTTATAGTCTAATCTTAATTATAATATGTTTAAAATTAAATGTATAATTTAATAAATATACAATACTGTTGAAATGTTTTGAGTCTTTATGTTCACCAAGGCTGCATCTATTTGATCAAAAATACAGAGAATATTCTAAAATATTATTACAATTTAAAATAAATGTTTTTATTGTAATATATTGTAAAATGTATTTTTTTACTGTGATGCCAAGCTGAATTTTCAGCATCATTACTCCAGTCTTCATTGTATACACATGATCCTTCAGAAATCATTCTAATGTGCTTATTTGGTGCTCAAGAAACATGTCATTGCATTTTTTCAGAATTTTTTGATGAATAGTAAGATCAAAAATACAGCATTTATTTGAAATGTAATTTACTCCTGAATAATCACAATAAACAAGGTTATGGTTGGCATTAATGTATAATTTAAGTGTGTGTGTGTGTATGCTGACTTTTACAGTGCCTTTTCAAACAGGTCTCATCCAATGCTTTATAATGTCATTTTATATCTCTAATTAAGCTTATACTTGTTTATTAAAGCAATTAGCCATGAGAGGCCATGTGTTAATAATTTTACTGTGGTAAAGAGATCTTGTTAAGCAACTGATCCCCCTTAAAGGGGTCATATGATGTTGCTAAAAAGAACATTATTTTGTGTATTTGGTGTAATGAAATGTGTTTATGCGGTTTAAGGTTCAAAAAACAACATTATTGTTTCTCCTCTATGCCCCGCCTTTCTGAAACGAGTCGATTTTTACAAAGCTCATCGGTCTGAAAAAG